AAGTGTAAGAATAGATAATACGAATAGCACTTACCAACAAATAAAATGCGGTGTACCACAAGGTACAGTACTTGGTCCTATTTTATTTAATTTATATATCAATAACTTGCTAATAATAAATCATCAGGGTCGGATAATTAGTTTTGCTGATGACACGGTTATTTTCTATTCTGCTGATAGTTGGGAAGAATTAAAAGTAATTGTTGAAAATGATTTAAAATACATATTCGACTGGTTTAATCATAAAATCTTAACAATTAATTTCTCTAAAACATTCTTTTTACCAATAGTTAGCTATGAAAATAATCTACCGGAATATAACAACTTAGTAATCATCAGCAATAATCAGGTGCCTTTAACTATAAGTTCATCAAATAAAACGAAATATTTAGGAATAATTATTGATAGTCATTTGCGTTGGAATCATAATATAAATAACATTGTAAATATACTAAGAACCCTATTATTTAAGTTTAAATATCTTTCCAAAATACTAGAATTACCTTACCTAAAAATGTTGTACTACGCTTTAGTTCATTCTAGAATAACGTATGGAATATTAGGATGGGGTGGAGCCTCAAATGTGTATATGGACAAAGTCGAAGTAATACAAAAATATTTTTTAAAAATTATATTAAAAAAAGAACGCACTTACCCATCTGACCAATTATATAAAGAAGCAGAAATACTTGATCCTAAATAAAACTTTTTCTTTAAAATAGCAAACTATTATTTTAAAAATCAGAGTCTTCTTAAAAATGTAACATAAATATGAAACAAGATCCAAGGAAATGAATAAATTAGAAGAATCAGTAGCCCGTAAAACAATAGGACAAAAAAGCCATTTGTTTTTAGCACCCAAGGTTTTAAATTCACTACCCATAAAAATTAAAAATTCTCTGTCGATATCTCAGTTTAAGACAAGACTAAAAAAACATATACTCTCCATGAATAGAATAAAAATAATCGAATTAACGTATTAACCAGTAACTAAAAGTCAACTATAAAGTAGGTACCTACAAATAAAAAATTAATTTTTTTCTAAAGTATATTTTTTTATTTTTTGTAATAACAATAAAAATAATTTTTATTATTCATTATCATCAATATTATTATTATTAAATATAATTTTTAAGGTTATTATTATTATTATTATTATTATTATTGTTATTATCATCAATATTATTATTAAATATTGTTGCTGTCATTATGATTGTTATTATTATTGTATTTTTTAATAACATTAATCTCGATAATTTAATTATAAAATTATACTTTATAGTATCTTAACCACGGACAGTCTCTGACTTTGTGGACATTTACTGTTTGTTTGTATTTTATATGTATTTTTTCTTGATTATTGTGTGTACATTTTTACAAATAAACAAATTATTATTATTATTATTATTATTATTATTATTATTATTATTATTATATTATATTATTTAATTCAGAGGCGTGTGTATATTTGTGTCTGTCAGTCATTGCTAACTCTATTTTTTTGGCTCACATTTTATTTAAATACTTAAGTTTCTGGTAGTTATGACTATTATATTTTTATTTTAGTAAGAAGAAAATTTAATAGGGATACCATTAACGCTGCTGCAAGCCTGTATGCTCGGAATGATTTGTTGAATATCTGGATACTGTTATATAATCTTTTTTAATTTATGCTTTTTAAGTACATATTCCAAGAAGTTATGTTTATTTAGTAATAGTTCAGGTTAGTATACGTACTATGTTTCAATTCAGAAATTTTATGCAGTAACAAGAATGCAATACCTATTTTTTGTTTTATAAAACATTTTTTAGAAACAATTTTTTTATAAATTAAACATTTTTAAATGAGTATTATGATGTTTCTTTTGTCGTCTAAACACGTTATCTGGTGACATATTTATCAAGTCGCTGTATGACGTCTTTGATCTGTGACATATTGCTGTCATAATCACGTCACCAGCACGTCATAAATTTGGTGATATAAACGTAAAATGTGACGTGTGTTTCACGTGAAAATCACGTGTCTGTGCTAGCTGGGCGGTCTCCTCTACCAAAATTTGTTTCATATAATCAGGGGCGTGCCGTCCATGGGTGCAGTGTGCAATGCACACAGGCGGCCAAAATTTAGGGCGGCCGTAGGCCGCCACAGCAATGATCCCTTCTTGCCGAAAGCGCGCACCGACTAGACTGGCAAAAAAGTAAGGAGGTAGCTTTATTGTAATAAAAATGTTTACCGTTTTAAAATGTGGCACGTGGACCTTAACAAACAAGGGGCGGCAGCCGGCCGCGGCAAGATATGACGATTTAATTACCCACTTCACTTATCCACAAACGACCGGCCGGCGGTAGTCGGTAGTAATGTTCGAAGTCAAAAACTGGCGACTGCTTTGATAGCGTTCGTTAGGCGGTCGCATCAAATGGTGCGGTGGACAAAATATGGGAAAATTATTATTTTTTATCATTTCAAAATGTAATGTTGGCTACCCCTACCTACATTAAAAATAATATAAAAAAAAAGGTTCATCAAAATGCATCTGCATTACTATTGTTTTCTTTGTCTCAATAACATAAATAATACTTATTTACTTAACTGATTTGATTTCTATTTCTGATTTTGATTTGATTGATAATTGATAACTGATATTGTATTTGTATTGTATCTTATGTAATGCGATCGTGAAAAGTGAAAACTTTGCCTATGAAAGATGGTAAGTAATTGTAATTAATTAGTATTATTAGCAATTTTATTTATATTCTATTTTCATTTTTGTTATTATTCAGTGAAATTTAATATAATAACTAACCATTCTTAAGATTTATTTTTGATTTTTGGCATAATAAATATTATTGAAAATTGAAACTTAATTTAATTTCAAACAAATTAATAATCAATTTAGTGTAGGTAGGTATATTAATTCTTATTTTAACCTATATAAATTTTTATTTTGACTAAGGAATACAGGAATAATAGATAAATAGATATTTATGTATGTGTGTTTATTATATTCGCATGTTAGAAACAAATACTTTTAACTTTTACTTTTAATTTTATGAAAATATTGGCATAAACAATTTCAATAGTAGAATAGTATTTTTTAATACATTATTTAATCTTCTCCTTCATCAAAAATTAAAAAAATTGACAATAAACTTTGTAAATTGTAATTTTTTGTTTATACAGTATACATATCTATCTTAATATGGTATACATATCATCTAACACTACGTTTTAAAATTATTTTGTAATATACAGGGTGTTCCAGAAAAGTGTGCCATATCAAAGTTACTATTTTTTAAATGGAACACCCTATATATTTTCGTAATATTGAATTCTCATTGAAGAGCTGATTTCGCAGATACCACATACTTGCGGTCTAAATTAAATATTTACAGAGTTAGGGTGTTAAAATCACCTATTTTTCAACTTTAGGTCAATGTTTTGTGAAAACTGCTGAATATTTGGCAAAACGGCTTACATCTTCCGATCCTAATTTTTCAAGGGCTGCTCGATGGTGCTAAAGAAAAATTAATACAATGTGGTCAAAAAATCAGAATGTGGTAAATTTTTGACCACACTGTATTAATTTTTCTTTAGCGCCATCGAGTAGCCTTAGAAGAGTTAGGATATGTTTGGATTTATGTATAATATGTTCACCTTAACAAATGAGATATTGTTAAAATCATGTAAACATTTGAATTCTCTTTTGACGGATGATTCTCGTAACGAATTTGATATTGATGCATCTGATTTATATGAAGAAATTAAAACACTCAATATTTACTTTGAATCAGCTTCAACTTCAGAAGGTTCTCAACAAGATCCTAAGTTCATTTTGGAGTTTATATTTCAAAATCAATTATTGTCAACTTTTCCAAATATTTCAATAGCCCTTAGACTTTTACTCACTTTGCCCGTATCAGTAACCTCGGTAGAAAGATTTTCTAAGCTAAAAATTATTAAAAAGTATTTGAGATCTACCATGTTACAAGATAGACTCAATGATTTATCTATAATTGCCATAGAAAATGATATTATGGATACCCTGAATTTGGAAGAATTGATTAGGGATTTTTCCGCAAAGAAAGCAAGAAAAACGATTTTTCTATGATTTCTCACAGTAGGGACAATGACAATCCATTTTTAAACTAGTAAAAACATGTCATTCATGTCATGTAAACTTATTATTCAGCTAGTAAATTTACAGCAACAATGCAACAAAAAATAAATATAATTTTGTAGTATATTCATTAATGTTAAACTAACTGATCCGATTGTATTAGATCAATTAGATGTCACTTTGTAATGTTATAACATTTTTATTTTTGTTATACATATTATAAATAGAATATTTTATGTTTTATTCAGTTAATTAAAAAATTACTGTTAAAATTGTAGTTTTTATTAGTGAGATGCAAACTTTCACCTAAATATTTTTGCTATTACTCAAAAATATTTAAATGAAAACAATATTAACTAACTTTATGTCATGTCTTGAATTAAATTTTTGACGAAAGTATTTTGAAATAGGGGCGGCTAAATTTAAGTTTTGCACAGGGGCGGACAAATGTCACGGCACGCCCCTGCATATAATTACATGTGTTCAGACGTGAAGAGACTGTTTTTGGTCTCTCTTGCTGTCGCGTCGCATTTTGAAGTCGGTCTCGGATTGCGAAATGTTCACTTATTTATTTTTATGTAAAAAAATTCATATAAAAAAAGAATTTATTAAAAAACCAATATATCCAATTTTTTATTTTATTTAACCTTTTTGCTTTTTTGCGTTTTCTGATCAGAGATTGCTACATATAAAAAAAGAATAATTTTTCTTTAAAATGGTGGATTAAAAAAGCTTTTTGGATAAAAACGAACTGAGATACAGCCGCTCAACTTAGCTACTTTGTTTTTTCGATTTTTATCGCGTATCCTAGTGGCAGTTTTCAAAACTACTTCTAAACCAGTAGCTGTTGAAAATTAGTTTCATATATACATATAAACTTACCCTGTCGATTCTTTCTTGAAGAGCGCACATTCTCGCTATCGAACCGATGTTGTTGGTGATGGTGACCAGAGTCGCCTTGGCCAGGTCCTGTTTGCTGACTTTGCTTCGTCGCTCCTTCGAATTCATTTGTCCAAAGCTACACAAGGCCGAGAAACTTCAGAGTGTGCACCAATTACGAAAAAAAGCAGAAAAGAAGAGAAAGACGAAAGAAAATTACAAACAAAGCAGGCAGCAAACACTAGGAAATGAGCTCGAGTATGGTTAATCTAATGTGTGCATTACGTTTATTATTTAAAGTACTACTAAATTAGACGAAAAACTACCAACATTATTCATTCCAACGACAAAAAATAACACTTTTTTATTTATTACATTTTTAAATATAACATTCAATAATATTTATTAAATACATAAATTTTTGAATGCATCGTTCAATTTTTTAATTCGGTATTGTTATAAATAATCATATTATTTAATTGAGTTAATTATTGAATGAAATTATAATTTATTCCAAGTGTTTCATGATTCAATTAATTTATATGATTAGTAAAACGTACATAAGAGTCTGCTTGCTAATATGACAAGTAATTGATACGGGTGAGACTAGTCCAACGTATTTGTAATCAAAGATTGACTCATTCAAAAGACAAATCTTAGTTTTAAAAAGATTCAATACATTTTTCAACTTTTTAGACTTATTATTTACTACTAAATTCGACTTTATCACTTTGATTTTTCTTCAATCTATATTAGCGATATTTTCTATTTCTTCCACAAGTACAGAAAAAACACCCATTTTAACAATTTGCAATTGTGACAAAGTCAAAGATTTCTTCTTTTAATCAGGTTTGCTTTTCTTCTCAAAACCTTTCTTATTCTTGTCATTCAGTTGAAATTTAAATTGTTATTTTTCAGATAAGTCCTATCACCAAGATATATAAGAACTAAAATACGAATATCCCCAGCAAAATCTATCTTTTTGCTCATATTTGACATAATTCCATCCAGTTTAGCAACGCATCACTCAATTTTATAGGCCAGTCATTAGAGATAATCAAAAGTTTTCAAACTTTGTTGGAATATTTATTAAATTGAAATCATTGTAAATTTAATTTTGCAACTTTTTCTGAGGTCCGGAACATATTAATAATTCCAAAATATTAAAATTTATTATTACTTTTTTATAAAAATTGTAAAAGTGCTGCAAACTTGAAGCAATATATACTCTATTATTTTCAACATTTTTGAAAGTCTGGATCATGATTTTTTTTTGTTAAATAGTGTTTTTTTTATATCACAGACAAAGAATTGCAAAAGTGCTGCAAACCGATGACATAACTCAAGTTTTTGGAACAGCTATTCCAATTTGCAACCTTTTATTTTGACAGAAATTTTATTTTTGTAAAAATTATAAAATAATTTTTTATTTTCCTCTAATTTTCTTTAACAATCTGGTAAATATGCAACTTCGGACAAATTCCGGAACCTTGAAAAATTAACAAAAATCAAGAATTCGCACCATGACGAATTAATTCAATTTTATTTTTAAAAATCTTTATATATAGAAACTAAAAGAAAAATGTACAATATAAAGATGCATGCGGGGTATTATTTTACTTGTTAAACATGTGTTTTTCATAAATTTATTTTTAGGATTTAGTGGCTCATGTAATGTACGAAATCACTCTCGGCTACCGCAGCAATATTTTCTGCACCTCTTGGCGACGTTGTCAACTACATTAAAACTGTAGGCTAGCTCACGAGCTAGGAGGTGCCTATCATCTTAGGAGGATGCACAATGGGCCTAATGAGGCTTAAGTGCCGTGGGGGTATCCCACCCTACACACGTTACAGATACAGATGCAGATGTACACAACGCAGCTTTTTTTTTTCATCAAAAATTTGAAATATGTGAATCCATCACAATACCTACTTAAAAATATGTCCTTAATACAAAAATTCCGCATAACTACATAAATTGGAATTTTAAATTTGGCGGCATATTTGAATCCATCACAGAACCTACTTAAAAATATTTCCTTGATACAGAATTCCGAATTTGGCTGCACATAGGCCACACCCCGGCTGATGCCGGAGTGTTCTCATTGGCTGGGCACATTTACATTTTAATGTATGCTGTTGTACCTTACTCTTGGCAACCGTGTGAACAGTTTACGCCGACCGTGTGCCGTGTGATTCGTGATTATTGATTACTATTGAACTATATATATTTTACTAATTTTGTATTTGCATTTTGATTGTTGTGTATTGAAATAAATATTATTTGAATCAGTAAAAACATATAACTAGCAAAGTTTACAACTAAGTTTTGACACACTATACAGAATTCCTTCAAACGAAATATAATAAAAAATCTGCAAATTAGTGGAAAACTTCCTATTAGGCCGGTCAATATAATGTTGCTACTATTATATACTTCTACAATTCTACACGTTCAATGCATGAATACCTCAAAGTAGTTTACCTTTAGCTCAAAATAACGAGAATTTTAGAAGTTGTATCATTTACTTGCCATATTACTCGAAAGATTAATTACTATTATTTTCAAAAATTATCGGTATCTACCAGAAAATAGCAACAGGTTATTAATTCAAAACCAGATATGGATTATAATATATACAAGAGAATATTTTTTTTAACCCAATCAACGTCAACTCAAATCAAACACATTTTTTAAACATAAAAAAGTTATTAAAATAAATCTTTTAATATCTAAATTCAATAGTTAAAACGTGCTTTTTTATTCAAATTAATACTATTAGTTAAGCAGTCAAGTGTACTACGTCCAAAAAAATAATAGATGCAACGTAAAACGTTAACTACAGAAGAGAAATATAAGTAAAGCAAATGAAAAGGAGAATTTACAGATACGTGTTTCAAATTACTTACCTACTGGCTACTAGATCGCCAGGAAGACCGAATCTCTCGTAATCGCCGCCATATATATCTCTAACTAGTTTATCGACGTTTCTATTATCACCTTCAGCTGCCAATCCTATTGCCTCTTCGAATGTGTTGCAACCGGTTAATAGGCAACACAGCCCCAGGAATGTACCTCCTCCTAAACTGTAATTAAAGAAATATTTAAACATGCTGCTCTAGGTGCATAATTAGGTACCATTTCCAATAAGTTTTACAGCCGTTTGCAAGAAAGTTAATTAATAGGTATTTTGAAAACAGTTTTTTGTGTTGCAATGTCACAGAACACCTAGAAAAAGGATACATATTATGAACCATTTTTGCGAATAAACTGTTAACTTTCTATCAGTGATTAATGAATTAAGTCCGAAGTCAACTCGTCCCTCATTCACACTCTTATTTTCTAATTTGCAATACATCTGCATAATTTTTGTACAATTTGTACAATTTAAAATTTTTAAAGCCGGTCCTGTTTAGTTTTCAACGCGTATTATGCATGTGCGCGAACAACTTTCAAGTTTTACAAGTAATCAATTTAATTGTGTTTTTTTGTGCAAAATCGAGTGTCATTAAGGCTAAAAAATAATAGATCTGAACAACTTTGATGAGAGTGATGTAAACTATTTTTTCTAATTTTGATATATAAGTGACATATTTTGTAATCGCAGCAAGTGTCAAAACGAACATTATGCAACTAATTAGGGAAAGTTGATTATGTCACTAGTTACGAAATGAAAATAAATAAAATTGTCTGTTTTGGTTTTTAAATCGAAAAATCAAAAAATTGAAAAAAAGGCAATGAATAGTGACATTTCACATTTGACAATTTGACACTACGTTTAATCAAAAAGAAAATAAAAAAATAATCTGTAAATTACGTTTTATTTTTTAAACAATTAAAACCGTTATTGAAAACTGCCCAGAAATGTTGTGGGTAAAATTTTAATGTACTCCTTTGAGGATAACGAGTAAAAACGTTTTTTTTTCAAATACCCGCGGGTAATGTCAAAAATCAAATCGGGAACACTGCACATTATTACTATTGAAAAAAAAAAACAACGTCATAGGGCAATCAAATACAACAATTTTCTGAAATATTTGATTGGTAGTATCTAAAAAGAAAGATGGTGAATCATTTTTTTAACCAAATACAATTTTATAAATAATCAAGTCAAAATTAGAAAAAATCTTGTATGTAACACGTTACATAAATAGCTATTAGACCACTCTTGTTTCAAACACAAATACAATATGTAATACAACTTTGATAAGAGATATAAACAGTTTTGGTAAGACATCATCAGCTTAATTTGCGCAATGCACACTGTGACGTCACAAAGTAGGGCGGGGCACAAGAACTTTCCAATCATTGATATTAAATAAAAAGGAGATGCTATGACGATACTAAAAGTGTCCGCACAGTTTTACGACATATGTCAAACTCGAGCAAGTGGAGTTAGTCAGTTTTAGTGAGAATAAATACCATTTTTTTAAAATAGCGTGACTTAAATGATATAAAAACATTTTCATTTAGTCAATCTTCAAACATACAATTATTAACGTCAAATTAATCAAAATACGAAGTGCGCTCACTTGTCATATGGCAAAATAGTGTTTGTCCTTTCTACATTATTTTATCTTGATGTTTCCAATCAAGCTGTAAAACTTTAAAATTCACCATAAGACAATTTTAATTATGTTTATTTAAAAACCGTGTTTAAATAAAACTGCGAATGTAATAAATCGGAAGTATGTGTGTCAATTCAATGATTATTAAAGAAACACGTCTCCAAGCTCCAGGTAAAACATTTACTATTATTTTTGGGGTTATGTTTATATTTTGTTTTGTTCCAGTTTCTACAAAATAGTCGTGTGTTTTATACCCAACCCTAAAACAGAAAACTGCGTAAATGGATACAATGTCATCGGAACTCTTTTATAGGAAAACCATCAAAATTAAGCTATGACTGAGTTCCATCAAGAAATAGGCTCTTTTGGCAATTATATAAACTACCTAACTTTAAACAGATCTTAGATTGCAGTTGCCAGCCAAGAAAAATCATTATAAAGGGTGTCTAAATTTGATCTTCGGATTTAATTTAATAATAAAACAAAAAGTCCCTGAAATAATATAATATTATTATATTATTTTAAAGTTTAAATGTTACGGTTAATAATGAAAAATGATATCCGGCATGCGACACCTCAGCTTTCTTTAGCATTCTAACATTCTTTATCGTAAAATCCGTCTGATTTTATAAGGTAAGTTTTAATACTAATGTATTGTTGAAAATATATATTTTATACAAGGATTTCTTAAATAATTGTATTGAACATAACCTCAATATCAACAATGGATAACACATGTTCGTTTTATATTAATTTATATATTATTTTTTTGGAATAATATATTATGCTTTACTATGTTTGAATATATTAAATAAGATTTTTCCTTTTCATATTAATTTTAGTCTCTGTAAAATTATTCAGTTAATAGTTTTAAATTGTTCATTTAATAGTTAAAGCATTTTATCTAAATCCTGTTCAAATTTCCTATTTCCTGTCTTAACATTTTAACCCTTTCTTTTTAGCATGGCTATATCTAGACGGTTTATTTGGATTTATATCTAGACGTAGTTGAATTCCTATCAAGAAGTTTTAGGGTTTTTATATCTAGAAGTTTGTTTTGGTTTTGGTACAATCTGAAGACCGTGGTTTGATTCTTCTCTAGAAGAAGTTCGAGTTTAAGTTAGAATACCAAATATCACGAGATCATTCAAGTTGCGGAATTACGAATAAGGATCCCGAATCCCTTTGAAGAAGTTGCCTGAAGATATACCATGCGATAAACATTCCTTATATTACCTCCTTTTAACTAAAGATAAGTACTTTTGAATAAATAATTTAAAATTTGAATTTAGTAAAACTATGTGAATTAGAATTTGCTACTACCTTATCTAAAGCATGGTTTAAATATAATTTATTAGTGGTTAGTGATTTTCTATATTTTTATCACTAATCTAAAGTCAAGTATAGTAAGATTGAAATATAGTGGTGCCCAACTTCTTTTTCAAAGTTATTCGAGTTATTTAATAACCTAACCCACGCCCAATTAATTGAATTCAAACACATTATACAAGTAGATAGAATAATTATTAGAGATCACGTTACAATTAAATTAATGGAAAAAATCAAGCTTAACAAGGGGATGAAAAATCTGATTGAAAATGAGAGTTAAGGAGGTTTGTTAAACTGTGAAGAGTATAATTTAGAATGTCACGCATTATATATCTTCATTCTAAAGGGTGAACCATTAATAAGGGCCGATCTAAATTGTAAATAAAACGCAAACATTTAGGAAATAGTTTTATAGTTCAAGGCAATTATGTGTGAAACAAAATATCGGCCAAATGTTCGCCACGGCTTCGGCGGCACACTTCCATTTGATAGTCGATATTTTCGATGACGCTTAGGCATAATTGAGGTTCAATGTTTTTAATGTGCCGGGTTATCTCATCTTTTAGCTCTTAAATTATTGTAGCCTTATTGACGTACATCAATTCTTTCAAATAACATCAAAGAAAGAAATCCATCGGTGTCAAATCGCATGACCTTTGCAGCCAATTGACATCACTATTCCGTGAGATAACACGCCCATTGAATTTTTCGCGCAAAAGAGCCATTGTTTCGTTAGCTGTGTGGCAAATAGCACCACCTTGTTGGAACCACATATCTTCCAGATTCATATCTTCCATTCCGGCCACAAAAAGTTTGTTATCATCTCGTGATAACAAACACCATTCACGATAACTGCCCGATGATGCCGCCAGCCCATAAACCCCTACAAACATGCACAGGTGTTTTCACATCTCCTTCTGAAATTTGAGTACAATTTTTCCGAATGTACGCACATTTGGTCGATTATGCTGACCAAAAAAATCACGAAGTACACGATATGCATTTTTATTTGAACGCCTATTTTCATAAAAAATTTCAACCACCTAACGCGTTGCTCAATGGTGTACCTATCCATTGTTGAATTTGCCAACCATTGAATGTTAAAAACATTACAAGAAATGCCACACCAAACTTGACGTTTAAGTGTGGTTCACAATTAAAATCGGCCCGAACTGCTGGTTCACCCTGTAGTTTGTATCTGGGCAATGTTATGTATTGTGATGGGACTGATCTTATAAAATAAACATTTTAGTTCACTTGGCTTATTTGCCAGTAAAAGGTATTTAAAAAATATATTATTTTATTTGACATGTGTGACAAATTGTGAAAATGATTAAATTTACAATAAAAACCGAAAAACGGTAGGTTAAGTTTCATATATTTTTTAAACAAAAATCAATGTCAAGCTTTGTACATAACCTGATATATATTTAAAAATAATCTCAAAATATGAAGAAAGGTCAGCAAACTATAACTACGTTTTCAACGTATTAAAAACAAAATAAATATTACATTAACTAAAAATATTCATTAATAGTTGTGGTGCTTGCAAACAGTATGATATTGATAATATCCCACCGTTGGCCGGAATTTTTTCATTTAATTTATTTATTTAAAATTAATTCTGATGCCTTGGTAGGATTCCCCACTCGACCATTCACTGTTGGGTTCTAATTAACAGTGCTGTCCCTAAAGAGGCGCTGGGAAACAGTAACAAAGCCTACACAGAACACGAGGTGAAATAACCTTAGCAGTTGAAGCCGATGACACACAAAAAAAAATAAAAAAAAAACAGCGATATTGGCGGTTGTACAAAGTTTTGAACCGAACTTAAAAACGATAAAATTATTGGAAAAAGTGAACACCCTTTTTAAAATCACAAGCCGCCACTGCTTATATATTGAGTTTCCATATATGCAGATTTCTACAATTTCTTCTATTTATAACATAAAATAATCCATTATAAAATAATGTAAAAAACTATGGTTCTTGTAACTCGGTTGCAAGAATGCTTGTTAAATTTCTCAATAACAAATATAAAATGCCATAACGTTATCACATTGTGCGTAATTTGAGTTGATGTCATTTACGAGGTAGGCGCCAATAATTCCCGGCCTGACAATGAAGGAGGCAAAGTACAACAACAAGTTTTTATTATTTTTCAATGTAATCTCCCTTAACCTCAATGC